GTCTTGGAATCTGCTCGTACACATCATGTAATCCTTTAGCCCTGCACAAACAGCCTTCCACTTCAAAGTTTTGGTACCAAGTCCAGATTTATTTGACAGTTGGTGAAGTTTTTTCCAAATTTTTCATTGAAGCCTGCGCAGTCTTAGGTGAGTGTGTACGAGCAGATTCCAAGACACAAAATGACTTCTCTTTGGGAGTGAACAGTAGCCACGCTGGCGCCACCTAGTGCCTCTGCTCAATTTCATTTCTCTCCAGCGACTAGGTCAGGAGTCAGAATACACTAGACGGTTTACAAGAACCCCGGACGTTGTAGACCGAACACCAACCAATCAGTGGAAGAGCTGAACCAACCTGAGTTGTTACTGCATGTGACCAACGTGACCCAACCCAGAGTCCTGCACGGGTCCATTTTTAGAGACCCGCACGCCCACACCCGTTAACATTCCACACATTACCGCCTATGCCCGTGATAACCCAGGACTAACCCAGGACTAGCCCAGGACTAACCCAGGATTAGCCCAGGACTAGCCCAGGACTAACCCAGGATTAGCCCAGGACTAACCCAGGACTAACCCAGGACTAACCCAGGACTAGCCCAGGACTAACCCAGGACTAGCCCAGGACTAGCCCAGGACTAGCCCAGACAACCCAGGACTAACCCAGGACTACCAGGACTAACCAGGACTACCCAGGACTAGCCCAGGACTAACCCAGGACTAGCCCAGGACTGACCCAGGACTAACCCAGGACTAGCCCAGGACTGACCCAGGACTAACCCAGGACTAACCCAGGACTAAGGTGCACCTGCGTAGACCGTTGGGTGACCGCAGGTGAAAGGACCGGCATAGAGCTCCGTGCTGCACAAATAAGTGAGGCCGTCGCCCGATCGTGCTTTGCGGGCACCTTCTCCACGTGCTCGGGGCTCTCTCTGTTAGTCTGCGGGTACCCGACCTGGAGCAGGATTCTGACCCGACCTGGCGCAGGACTCTGACCTGACCTGGTGCAGGATTCTGACCCGACCTGGAGCAGGACTCTGACCTGACCTGGTGCAGGACTCTGACCTGTTACAGTGAGAGCTGGAAAGATGCAGCGACACTTGTTCCAAAGCCAAATGTTACTTCTCCTGCTACACACGTTATATCCACACGACAGCTCAGGTACATGTGCATCTGCCCATCATCAGAGACAGTTTTCAGAGCCCTTGAAATATTATAACTCCGGGGGATGTGGGGTGGGGGAGGGGGTGCAATATCATTGCACTGTTGAGCTGTTGAGCTGTTACCGCACCGCGACATGTTCACTCTCTGCTTTGTTTGCTGTTGTGCTGGCAATTACTTGGACACTACTGAGCGTTCCGGCACATTCCACACAACACGACCAACTCACAACAGAGGACACACTCTGGATCTGGTCATCACCTATGGCCTGACCACTAGTGTGTCCTCTGTTGTTGACCTGGCTGTGTCTGACCACTACTGCGTGTTTTTTAACATCACTGGTTTTATACAACGTGAGACCTCTGTGAGAACTGTGAGGAAGCGCCGTCTGACCCCTGAAGTGGCTGCAAATTTTATCGAAGTTTTAGATAAAAATCCCCCAATGGTTTTACCTGCCCCTTGCGATTTTATCACCGACTATTTTAACAGTAAACTACGGTCAGCTCTGGATCTGGTTGCTCCACTCAAAACTAAAAGCATAACCAAAATAAAACCTCCATGGAGAACTGAAGAGCTGACAAAATTCAAGAGAGAGTGCAGGAGGGCAGAACGGAGATGGAGAAAAAACAAAACTACAATAAACTACCAATTATTCAGTGATCAACAACGTACATACAACAACGCAATAAGAAATGCAAGAAACCATTACTTTTTCCACAATAATCACCAATCACAAGAATAATCCTAAGTCCTCTTCTCAACCATTAACAACATTTTAAACCCTGATTTTAGCACATTTTACTTAACACCACTGACTCTCTCTGTGAGCAGTTTGCAGACCACTTCACGGATAAGATAAACACTATCAGATGTGATATTTTATCTTGTCAAAACTCTGTTTTTAGTACATCTGAGTGTTTGTCTAGTCCAGAGGAAACACTGGACAGTTTTGTCCTGGTTAATGCTGAGATGCTTGACAAAGTTTTCTCCTCAGTGAGGCCCACCACATGTCTTTAGATCCAATTCCCACTCAATTTTTTAAGTCATTTTATGGATCTTTTAGGGATGAGCTTTTAACCATGATGAATTGCTCTCTTCAGACGGGGGTCTTTCCCTCTGCCTTCAAAGCAGCGGTGGTGAGGCCCCTGCTGAAGAAGAGCAATTTAGATTTTAATGATTTTAACAACTACCGACCAGTGTCTAACCTACCATTTTTAAGCAAAATTTTAGAAAAACTCGTTTTATCCAACTAAACAATTTCTTAGACGATCACAACATCTTGGAAAAATTTCAGTCTGGTTTTAGGGTGAACCACAGCACCGAGACCGCCCTGGCAAAGATTTTAAATGATTTTAGATTAAATTATGATTCACAAAAGGTGACCGTGTTGGTTCTACTGGATCTGAGCGCTGCCTTTGACACAGTAGACCACACTATTCTTTTAACTCGCCTAAAACACCTCGGCCTCTCCGGTGCTGTTCACAGATGGTTCACATCCTACCTCACAGACAGAACATTTATGGTGAGTGTAGACACATGCTCCTCCAGGGTCCATAAAATCACATGTGGTGTGCCCCAGGGCTCCATTTTAGGCCCTGTGCTTTTAACTTGTACATGCTCCCTCTTGGTGGTGTCATCAGGAGACATGGAATCAACTTCCACAGCTATGCAGATGATACGCAGCTTTACATCTCCATGTCTCCTGATGACACCAGACCAATGGATGCCCTTTTTAACTGCATTCTAGAAATTAAGTCCTGGATGGCAGAAAACTTCCTCCAGCTTAACCAGGACAAAACTGAGGTTTTAGTCATTGGTCCTGAGGCCCAGAGAGAGAAACTTTTACCCAAATTCCAAACACAGTCCTTTAACCCATCTCCTCTAGTGAAAAACCTGGGCGTCATTTTTGACTCTGAGCTGACTTTTATCCCACACATTAAGAACATCACAAAAATTGGTTTTTATCACCTAAAAAACATAGCCAGAGTCCGCTCCCATTCTCTCTCTGGCCAACACCGAGACGCTGATGCATGCTTTTATCACAGTCGAATAGACTACTGTAATGCCCTGCTCTCTGGTCTTCCCAAAAAGAGTATTTCAGGTTTGCAATTATTACAAAAATTCAGCAGCACGTGTCCTGACGAGGACCAGAGGTGGGACCACATTACACCGGTTTTAAAATCACTGCATTGGCTCCCTGTGTGTTTCAGGATCGATTTTAAAGTTCTTTTACTGGTTTTTAAATGTCTTAATGGTCTTGGGCCTTCTTATCTTTCAGAACTGCTTTTACCTTACGAACCCTCGCGGACCCTGCGCTCCTCTGGCAGCAGGTTCCTGGTCATTCCCAAAGTCAGGACACACACTCACGGAGAGGCGTCTTTTCAGCACTATGGCCCTCGTCTATGGAACTGCCTGCCAGAGGAGCTCAGGGCTGCAGAGAACGTTCATGTTTTTAAGAGTAGGCTCAAGACCCACCTTTTTAGCTTAGCTTTTGATTGAAATCTTATACTTTTACTTGTTTTTATTGTACACATTTTACTATATTTATTTATCTTAGGCATATTTTTTAGGATTTCCAGTGTTTCCTTTGTAGGAGCCCTCTGCATCGGGAGTGGAGGTCAGCTGTGGCTGCTGGGTCTGTCATGTGGGCTCCTGGTGGAGGGATGGTGCTTGGGCCTCAGGTGTCTGGGCTTCATCTCTCCCCTGGACCCTGTGGTGGTTCCTGGTGGTGGTGGACGTCTCTCTGCTCCCGGTGCAGACGGCTCCTCTGATGGTGCTTTTCTCAACTGGTTCGCCTGTATTCAGCCTCACATTTTATTGTGTCCGGTTATGTATTTTAGCATGTGAGTGTGAGTGTGTGTGTGTGTGTGTGTGTGCATGTTTGTGTGTATGTGAGTGTGTGTTTGGGTTGTTTGACTATTGGGGTGCGGGGGTTGGGTTGGTGGGTGGGTGTTGGGTGGTTGGAAATGCGGACTGTTTTAATCACTGTAAAGCACTTTGTGTTGCATTTTGTATGAAAAGTGCTTTATAAATAAAGTTTGATTTGATTTGATTTGATTTGAAATAGCAGCGATTGGTTAAAAAAGTACCTGCCTACCGTCGAGCGAACAAATCCTAATGCTGCGAGGTCATGATGAATCAGATTAGGTGAACGGCATGGCTCAACCTGAAAACAAAACATAAATAAAACAATAAATATAACATCTTGATATGTTTCTATACATTCTGTGAAAATTTGAGGTTATTTCAACAAGAATTACCAAAATTATTGACCTGTGAAATGACGTCACATTTTTTGGGACACCCTGTACATTGTTTAGAATTGTTGTCATGACAACTGCTCTCATTTTTAATCACTGCCAAACGGCACACCTGCCTATTAATATAGAAGTTGGTGGTTCCATCTCCATCAGCAACAATACTGGGTCCTTGAGCAAGACACTTCAGATAATTTGCCTGTTAAATCTTTTTTTCATTGGTTGTGCTTGGACAGATCAATACTTATATAGTGTATACATTTTGGAAATAATTGTTTATGAATCCCATTCACTTCACTGCACTTTCTTGTAGTAAAACTCTAGTATTTTTTGTAGTACCAGAATTACCGTATTTTTTTATTCTAGTTAAATAACGATACATTTATAAAGGCACAAAATGGCAGCCACATCTTGTCAATCTGACCCAGGGCAACTCCTACACCTCCTACACCTCCTACACTTCACCACTACAGACGATGGAGTAAATGGAAAGTGTTTGCTGTATTGAACACAGTAAAAGTGTGTTTGTGTGTAGTTGTGTGCGGTTGTGTGTAGCAGTAGCTGAGTTTGTGTGTGTGACCGTAGGTAGATTCTCCCGATGGACTTTTCGATGAGGAGGCGTGGCCGGGTCCGGACGGGGAGCGAATCAGTGAAGTCCCCGCTCCACCTTTCTCCTCCCTCTATCCTCAAAGCCACGCCTACTTTCAGGTAACTCCGCCTCCCGCTAGCATGCTGCATGTCTGTGTCTGGGAAGTCTGTGGGAGCATGACATGTGGTTGGTCATTTTAAGAAACATATGGGCCCTTTTTTGTTGTTGCTTTTGATGCTTTTTAAAATATAATAATACTGATACTAATAAAAGGTCATAAGGGTTTTTCCTAAGGTTTGGAGAAAAGTGTGTCTCATATCTCCACTTTTTCTCAGTGTTTTCACAAGAATAATTTAGTTTTGTAGAAATATCAACTTGCTCATACTTCTCTTTCTTAACAACCTTCATATATTTTGCAAATTTTGTAACTCAGTAGCAAAAAATAGAAGCAAATTACATTTCATAAACCCACCCAGGAAGAATGGTGAATATTTAAGCGTGACTGGATCATTCAAAACCTGGAAATGGTTTAAGCTTTTTAAGACGATCAGTGACCAGTATGTTTCCAGCAACTGTGAAAATGGATTTTTCTGACTGTAGTTACATACTATAACCTGCAGAGGGCGGCAGAGGCCAACTGTAGGATAGAGGAGCAGAGCCACAGAAGCAGGCCTTTGAGCGTAAAGGTGCACTGTGGAATGTTTCTGGTTGGTGATGTTATTGCTTTGTCTGAAATGCACCTCCAGAGACATAAAAGGGGCATCATTAAGCTTAATTACAGGTCAGATCTGTGCAGAGGCTACCCAGCTGAATGTAATGTAAGTGTATGTGACTGAATTGAAATGATAAAAAGTGTAACTCTGTACCAGACCTGGGCATTGTACAGCTCCCAGGTCACATGCAGCCCTTTAGTTAACTCTGACCGGCCATTTAAGCTCATTTGGAATTACAAAATAAACATATTTGATCATTTTAACTCATGCATGGACTAAAGCTGCATTGTTTTTATTTTAGGGGTGTTTTTATTTTGACATTTTTTGTTCGGCAGCCTCACTTTTTCATTGCTTCGTCATAACCTAAACTCTTATTAGTCTGACCAGCTCATCAAAACAATGTTATTTACTGCTTTTTTTTATAAAGAAATACAATTCATATTACACATTTTTTTTCATGTGGCCCCATGGAAAAAAATAATTGCGCACCCCTGCTCTATACCATGAAACTTATACAGCTATGAGATGTCCATGGAGACAAGCATGTAGCGAGGTAGTGAACCCGCACCAGAAAAGTTACACACTGCACCTTTAAGCTTAACAGAATCACCACACTCAGTTGATGTTTTGTTGTTGTTGCCTTTTTTGCCCTTTTTCTTGTGTTGCATGTTGCAAACTGGATTTTGAGTTCTGCACCACTCACCAATATGATTTTCTGAGACTAACTTTTTATTTTATTTTATTTTTTATTATATTATGGTTTTATATTGCACAGTTGTCCTGAGACAGTCCAAAGACACTTTGAATCAATGGTGTCACATTTTTAAGTGGTGGAAGTTGTTTGCAGATGTCAGTTACTCTTATAATGTTGGATCTGTTGGCTCAAAATCATGTTCTTTATTATGAAAAAAAAGTCATTGTTTATGTACATTATTATGTACAAAATAATTAAAAGCCTTTAATACACATTTACAATACATCTGCTTATGTATCCCCCATGTACATTATATCTAATTCCCTCCTGTTCATGCTGCCATATTTACAGTATTTGTATATATTCACTACAGTCTACACTGTAATATACTGTATATTCTCTATATTGTATAGACTGTACATTCTCTATATATGGCACTTGCTGCTCCTGCACTTCTGATTAGATGATAAACCACATTTAATTTGTATTTATACATGTGTAATGACAATAAAGTTGAATCTACTCTAATCTAATATGTCATTGTCTCTGCCTGGAATGTTCCACAGTGTGACATTAAACAGTTCTATTTTACATTTATACAATTACAGGTGGTTTTACAGCTCAAAAACACCTAGAAAAACAGGAATTCTGACTGTAATTGGGAATGTCTCTCCACAGATCTGACCAGTAACTTGGTCTACATGGAGATAGGCAAGGCAAGGCAAGGCAAGTTTATTTGTACAGCACAATTCGTACACAAAGTAATTCAAAGTGTTTACAGAATAAGAAATACATTAAAATCATAATAAAAACAAATCAAAACATAAATAATCATAAAGATTAAAATAAAAAAAGAGAGACATAAATTGGAGAGAAGAGTGCGGAATGAAAACCTTTCAGTTATTTGCACAGTTAAACAGAAATGTTTTGAGTCTGGATTTAAACAGCGTCACAGAAGAGTCTGTCTCACATGTTCAGACTGTTCCAGGTTTTAGCTGCATGAACCTGAAACTCTGACTCCCCTTGTTTAGTCGTGACTCTGGGCACCAGCAGGAGGCCGGTCCCTGAGCTCCTCAGAGTGTGAGATGGTTCATATGACACTAACATGTCACAGATGGACTTTGGTGCTCGGCCATGGAGAGACTTGTACAAGCAGAGCTGCTTTAAAGTCTATTCTCTGAGCCTGAGATAGAAAGGTTTAATGCCATACTGTGAAACATTCCAGACAAAGCAATAACATTTGACTGGCAGTTGACTTGGCAGTTGACTAACTCTCCAGTGAAAAAAGTTACACCTTTATGCTACAGCCATTCTGTAGGTGTGCCAATTCATATTTCACAAAGTCAGATCTTTCTTTTGTTTTCTCAGCTCTTGTACTCTAGTTTAAGAATTACGTATAAGCCATGCTGTTATGTTTTCTCATCAAAAACATATCCAGAGTTGTGTTTTGTTTCATTCACACATGTTTGAGTAATCCTTTATTATTAGTCTGTCTTCATCTCCAAAGCTCAAAATGTTCTGTTCCAACTTGTGATGTCGTGAAGCGGGAGTTTTCAGCTTTTACCTTTTTTTTTAAAAAGTAGAAATTGGCAATTCCAGGTCTGAAATCATCCAAATGATTTTAGTGAAGGTGTATGGAGTTAAAACACAGTGGAGAACTTCACGTATTTCTATAACTGTTTTCAGTTTTGGAGAAGAACTCATCCTAAATCTGCAGGGTTTGTGAGTTAAATGTGTGAATGAAAGAAAAACACAACTCCAGGTCTGTTTGTGATGAGGAAACAACATTAGAACATACAGTACATCAGAAAATAACCTAATATGAGCCTTTGAGAATCTACCAAGCCACTCTTGCCCAATCTGTGTTTTCTTAAGAATGAAATGAAGGCTTTAATTTTGTCAAACTATTTTTTTTAAATATTGGACTATATTTACTGTACAAGTGCTCCAACCACAAAGTCCTGAGTCATATATTTTTGAGTTATAGCGTTCTACTCCAGTCTTCAAATAGCACGGATCTCGATTTATTTAGTACATCTGTCTCAAACACAGCCTGGTCCATTTGACTAATTTCCCAGAGCAGAAGCGCAGACTGGACAGAAGCAGTGCCAGCATCGATGAGGCTTAAATAAGTCTGAGTCTGTGTGTGTGTGTGTGTGTGTGTGTGTGTTGCTCAGAGTTGTACAGGCACAGGGCTCCATCATTAGGCTAATGTGAGGAAGCTACACAGACACAGGGGCCATGTTTGTTATGTCCATCTGAAGAGCCACTCCCACACATACACACACACACACACACACACACACACACACACACACACACACGCTGCTCAGGGCCGGGGCAGGGACGACAGACTGTAGTGCCGACTGGTGCCACTTTCAAGATGCTACGACAAATGTAACATAGTTTAAAGAAACATTTCCATAAACAAGTTGAACAGTTTAATAATCTTTGGAATGAATCTTTACAAATTCACACAAGTCCATCTTGGCAGGCTCCCGCTGCTGCGATTAGGCCTGGGCCAGAGTTCAAGGACCAGTCGGACCTGTCACAGCTTCAGACCAAACCACAGTGGTCTGGTCTGAAGCCAAAAGGAGCTTTACTCACAGAGCTTTTTTACAACGGTTGGAAGTCCTGTCCTGCACGGGTACGGAACGTCCGGTTAACTGTTTTCTGTGGCAAAATGTGTGTGTAAATAGCTGGCGTATTCTTCACCAGCTTCATAAATCTGCCCTATCACCAAATCTTCAACCAACAATGTCCACAAAGGATAAACATTTAGAATTAATCCACAACTATCAAGGGAAGAAAGACGAAAACGTAAAGGCAAACAATGACGACATATTAGTGAATTACTGAACAAAACTAATGTTATGGTCATGAATAAAACAGAAGGAACTTGTTCACTCAGATTGATTCTCGGTTTAAAATTAAAAATCAATTTCATGATGTAGATATTTGCATAGACAGAGAGATTAGTACATTTTAAATGCTAAACATGTCGTCTGTGAACATCTGGAGTCTTCAAACTGCACAAATCTCTCCATCTATGCTAATATCCACATCATGAAATCTAATTTAATTTGAATTCTAGAATCAGTCTGAGTGAACAAGTTTTACTTTTTAATGAATTATTTACAGTGTTGGGGAGTAATGGATTACATGTAGAAGCATTATGTAATCAGAGTACAAATGATGAGTAACTGGTAACAGTTACAGTTACTGTTTCAGTGAGTGGTAATTGGATTACAGTTACTTTGTTGAAATAAATGGATTACACAGTGGTATGTTCCTGCTTTCACATTTTGGGCTAAACCAGAACTAAACCAGGACTAAACAATATGACACTTGACATTAAGGGGAACATAACTGAAGGCAGCACTCATCTCATATACACATCTTTTCTCTATCCATAATATTTTTAATATGCTTAAGGAAAGACTGGGCTTTTTATTGTCTTTTAGCACATAAAAGATCTCATGTTAAGATTTCCTCGTCTTTGCTTCTCTACAGCAAACAAAAGTCTGTTCATGGAGACTTGGGCTCAACAGACAATTTGAAGAACAAACAAGAATTTTCAGGATGTGGTTGGTACAATCATGTAGTTTTAAAAAACATGACCATATCAAGTAATCCAAAGTATTCAGATTACGTTACTCATTTTAAGTAATTTAATGGGTTACATTACAAACTACATTTTGGGATATGTAAT